TTAAGAGAAGTATGTGCTCAGACATAGAGCTAGTAAATGGGAGAAACTAGAATTGAAATGCACTTAATGGCCTTCGATTTGCACTTTCTAGTACAAGATCCATAGGCTACAGATGGCTATTTATACTAAAATTTAAAACTTCAGTTCTTGGAGTGGTGGTAGTGGCGCACACCTTTTCCCTAGCACCCAGGAGGCAGAGGCAGGCATATCTCTGAGTTTGAGGCCACACTGGTCTACAGAGTGAGTTCCAGGATAGTGAGGGCTACACAGAGAAACTGTCTCAAAAAAACAAAAACAAATAAAAAATTTTAGTTCTTCAGAACTACTACTATGTTTACACTTAAGTGATCATGTGTTTGTTTCATTTAAATTCTGCAGTATCTTCCATCTGATATTCAGAAAGCTAACCCAAGTTTTCTTTTATAAAATAAGTTGTTACACAATTTTATGTTGATATTAGTATTTTGAGCAGTTTAGCCTATGAAGCATTTTCCTTTTGCATTCCTGGGAGTTGAGGACACAGCTAACTGGTTGTCAGCTCCTTAGTGTCAGCCCTTCATTGATAGAGGGATTTCAATACCACCGTTCCTGCGTGTTGTTAATAGGGTTGTTACTACTGGCTAGCTTAGCTAATTCAAGTCTGGAGTTTAACATGTTAGGGGAAGAAGAGTGGCAGAAGCTGAAGCTGTGCCTCTTTTAGGGGGATTTCTAGATTCACCTCCTAGATTGCATAGCTAAGTTTTTATATTACAGTTAGTATTTTGAACACATAAAAGAACAGTTGCAGAGGAGGTTTATTTGTTTATTATAAAAATTACTGGATGGCTTTGATATTTATATCCTTTTTATCATCTACTTGTCTTCTGATGGTTTCATTCCTATTCTGTATGTGTTATAACACACCTATTTTGGCTAACACACTAATGTTTACAAAAACAAGCAGTTGCTCATGGGAACTACAGATTGTTTAGGACAAAAATGATTTCCAATTTAGGTCCTACTTGGAAAACTGCAGTCTCTAGAACAACTGTGGTCATATGAAATCTACCATGACAGCTCTCCATCTCACAGGGGCATGTAACACATGAAATCCTTGTAACCTGATAACCAATTTTTGAGGTTTAAATGATTTAAATACTAAGTATAGTGTCTGGCTCTACAAATGTTAAAGAAGAAAACCATTCTTATTAAAATGTAGTTTTTGCCTTCTACTAATGTCAGCTTGGCAGACAAGCCATTTTCTTTCACTGGAAGTGACAAGTTCGATGGTTGTCATCAATTCCCACCAATGCTCTGGAAATCTGGGCCTGTTTCTAGTGTTCTTTAGTAAAGGTTAAGCGTTCCAAACACAAAAGTCTACTATGATGGTCAGTTACTCATTGCATACACTACAGTTTTTCTCCTACTACACTCTCGGGGAAGAAACTGGCTTCAAATGTGAAGGAAAAGCTCTTAAACCACGATTATTCAATTTCTTCAGAAAACTGTTAGACATCTTCAAGTAATAAAAGGGAATTTTTCATAGCCTTTTGAGTGGGTCATATGGCAGTTAAGTATTCTAGTGACCTTTTATTTCCAGATATTATAAAACTCAAATTCAAAGTGATAGTAAGCAAATATTTTTGAAATGTGGCAAACCTCTTACCCTACCCCCAGGCTAAGCCTTGATTATTTTTTAACAATTTTATTTTCAAGGTTGGATTTCAGAATTAATTAGGTGGGAATTTTTGTCAACTTGCCAAATACTTTAAACTTCTAAGTAAATTAACTTAAACTTTTAATTTATCATTAATTTTGTTTTATTAATTGAACTAGTCATTTTTAAACCTTAAAATTTAGGTGATTAGCTGAAATACAGACCATGCTTTTTTCAGCTTGTAGGCTTTTTAAAGCAAACTTTTTCAAGCAAAAATAAAGTTTAAACAAAGAAAAGTAAAGGTACACATTTGGATGTAATTTAAACCTCATTTTGATGACTGTTGGCTTGGTGATTATAGATTTTGTTCCAGTATTGTTTTCAATAATAGTGTTACTATAGCAACTAGTATAAATGCTGCTTTAAAGGGGAAAACAAAAACCTTCCCACTGATTGTATCTTACATGGGATGAAAACTGTAACTTTCATAGTTTATTCTGGATTTGCAAAACTGTTTTTCTTGAAGAAGTAATCTGAGCATCCCGTTACAAATACTTTTTGGCCCTCTTAATCTCATCATTCGTTTCTTATATTGATTGAATGCTGCAATTAATTTAAAAGCCAAAGATGTTGGAACAGTGCTTTCCTAATTCTGAGCTATATTAGTTTCTTTTTAAAGAAACTGCTTAATTTATGTGCCTTGTCTTTTCATTTGTAAAATAGAGTGGGGATGGTATATGCACAAATTCATATGAGTGAATGCTCATCTAACCAGAGGCCAACACTTTCCATCTTGAATTTTTTTGAGATAGGGTCTCTTGCTGAATCTGGAGCTAGTAGATTTGACTAAGCTAGCTGGCCATAGAGCCCCCGAGTTCCTCCTTTCTCTTCCTTCTCACTCTGGGTTTACAGACATGTATGGACATGCTCAGCTTTATGTATGTACTGGAGATCCAAACTCAGACTTTTGTGCTTGTAAAGCAAGTACTTTGCCAACTGAGCCATCTTCTCAGAGTCTTAAAATGGTAGTTGTGTCACAAAGATTTGTTTAAGGACTTGGGTATAATCAGTATATGAGGAAATTATTAAAAATATATCCACTAATTCATTTCATTGCAGGTGTCATAATAATCCCAGGAAAATTCTAATGTCTTAAAAATAATTTACATGCCGGGTGGCTGTGGCACACGCCTTTAATCCCAGCACTCGGGAGGCAGAGGCAGGCGGATCTCTGAGTTCGAGGCCGGGGCTGGTCCAACAGCCTCAAACAATACAGAGAAACCCTGTCCCCTAAAACCAAAAAAAAAATAATAATAATTTACATAAGGGAATGAATAGTGGATAATGTTTTTCTGCATAATGTGGTAGTACTCAACCTTCCTAATGCTATCACCTGTCTATACAGTTTCTCATGTTGTGGTGACCCCCAACCACAATTCTTTTCCTTGCTACTTGATAACTATAATTTTACTACTGTTATGAATTATACTGTAAATTTTTTGGAGATAGAATTTTGCCAAAGGTTGGCCACCACAGGTTGAGAACCACTGATATAATACGCCCATCAAAAACTTTTGTGTTTGGTATAAAATTATGTCTATGCAAAGACTGCAAGAGAGGAAACGAGGCTTCAACTAAATATAATGCATTCCCATTTTTATGCAAAGCTGTATATAAAATAAGTGGAGGAATATATACTATGTTACTGATAACTGTCCCCAGGTTGAATAGTTAGATATCAGTGTTACTTTCATTAATTTATTTGAAAAAAGAGGCTATCACATTCATTAGAAACAATATAAAGGAGGGTTTCTGTTTTGTTTTTGAGGTTTGGCTTAATAGAATGAAGACAGCACTATGTTAGTAGGTTACAAAATGTATTAAACGTAGAAATCAAAGTAATGTGAACTTTTTCTGTGATTTACTGGTATTTCAGTTGGCTGTGGATCAAAAGGAACATTATTGCCTGGGCAATGGCTTAATTGTCACCATTACTTGACCTTAATTAGATGATCATGTTTCATTTTTTAAGTTAATTTTTCTTTTTCTGAAGATTTATTTTATGTGTATGAGTGTTCTATCCATATGTACACTTTTTATGCCAGAAGAGGGCACCAGATCCCATTATAGATGGTTGTGAGCCACCACGTGCTTACTGGGAATTGACCTCAGGACCTTGAAGAGCAGCAAGTGCTCTAAATCACTATGCCATCAGTCTAACCCCTATGTTTCATTTTGCTGGAATAAATCTTGAATCTGGAATGAAAATGATAAAATAGTGCACGTCAGCTCTAGTGTGAGCATAAACTAATCTTTGACAAGTTTTCACTGAGGCTGGAAAATGGCTCTGCAATTGAACACGGTCTTTTCTTCCAAGGGACCCGGGTTCCCAGCACTCACTCGGCATGACCTACAACTATCTGTAATCCAGTCCCAGTTATTGCCCCTGGGTAATAGGCACATACATGGCACATACATGCACACAGGCAAAACACTCATATACATAAAGTAAAAATAAATCTTTAAAAGTAACTTATACTCGTTAACAAAAAGAACACTCAAAGAAGTTACAAGTGTTAAAAGTAAAGAAAAATGAAAGGCCTCATTATGTTTCTTCTTTGCCCAGAGTCCTTCAAGTGATTATGTCTTTTATCTAAAAATGTAGATCTAGGAAATGGAGCCATGCCTCATGAAAATAAGCATTCTCGGCAATGTGATACTTAATAATTAGTGGATAAGAGTTGGGAAATTCAGTTGCTAGTCCCAGCTAGTCCCTTGTATAATTGGAAAAGTCACTTGCCTGGTCCTCAATTTCCCCTAATTTCAAGTCAGTAAGTTTGGGTTTTGAAATTATAGGATGCTAAGGACTAACCTGATTAAACTCGCTGATGTCTCAGGCATTTTACTGTGTGTGTACACATGTATTTCTGGAAAGGCTTCTGCCCTTCACCGGAAACAAGTAATGTCTGATATAGGATACTACTCAATTGACATGTTTATTGTTTTATTTTTTATTAATTTTTATTTAAATTAAAAACAATCTTTTTTTCATACCACTCCCAGTTCAAGGTCATCATTTGCTATATAACAAGTTAGAGGTCAGCTCTCTTAAAAAAATCTCTAAATATCCTAAGTTATGTGGTATGTGAAGCAAGCTCTTCTAAAAAATGTAATAAAAATAATGGAAAAAATGTAATAAATAATAAAAAACAAGAAATTCTGATGTGAGGTCTGTTTTCTAGGTAATTTATATATAGTATAAACTGAAAATGTGAAAAACAGTCAATTTCTACTCTTGCCAGTTTTATAACTATGAAGATATGATAGAGAGGGGTAAATAATTATGATTTCACCCCCAAAACAGGATACCATACTTGCAGAACTTCTTCAGATACATAAAGAACACATTGTAGGATATCATGAACATGATTCTCTTTTGGACCACAAAGAAGAAGAAGAGCTAACTGAAGAGGAAAGAAAAGCAGCTTGGGCTGAATATGAAGCAGAAAAGAAGGTATTTTATTTAGAATGCTTTTTCAGTGAAGCTGTTCGGGGCAAAAGGAGAAGCTTAGAGTTGACTATGATTCCAGTTCATTATCTTCATGTTTGCCATAGTGAACTTTGTTATTTTTTTATTATTTTTATCTAAAATTTATTTACTTATATTTTCTGCACATTGATGTTCATGCCATAGGTGTTAAGTCCCCTGGACCTGGAATTACAGATACTTGTGAACTGCCATATGGGTGCTGGGAACTGAACCCCGGTCCTCTGGAAGAGCAGTTAGTGCTCTTAACCATTGAGCAATCTCTCCAGTCTGAACTTTATTTTGTAGCATAACGATCTGCTAATAACTATGCATTTTTTATATAACTAAACATTCTTTTGGAGCTAGGTACAGTGTCTGTAGTCCCAGATACTTGAAACACTAAGACAGGGGGAATTATTTGAGCTCAACGATTAAAGACTGGTCTGAGCAACAAATTAGAAACAAGCCAAATACAATTTTTTTTGTTGTTTCTTCTTTTTTGTTTTTTGTTGTTGTTTTTTTTTTGCTTCTTTTTTCTACTTTTTTTATTTAAATTAGAAACAAACTTGTTTTACATGTCAATCCCAGTTCCTTCTCCCTCCCCTCCTCCCCTGTCCCCCACTAACCCCCTATCCCATCCCCTTTCTGCTCTCCAGGGAGGGTGAAGCTTTCCATGGGGGTCTGACATATCATTTGGAGCAGGGCCTAGACCCTCCCCTGTGTGTCTAGGCAGAGAGAGTATCCCTATATGTGGAGTGGGCTCCCAAAGTCCATTTGTATGCTAGGGATAAAAACTGATCTACTACCAGAGGTCGCATAGATTGCTGAGGCCTCCTCACTGACATCCATGTTCAGGGGGTCTGGTTCGGTCCAATGCTGGCTTCCCAACTATCATTCTGGGGTCCATGAGCTCCCCCTTGTTCAAGTCAGCTGTTTCTGTGGGTTTCACCAGCCTGGTCTTGTCACCTTTGCTCATCACTCCTCCCTCTCTGCAACTGGATTTGAGGAGTTCAGCTCAGTGTTTAGCTGTGGGTGTCTGCTTCTGCTTCCATTAGCTACTGGATGAAGGCTCTAGGATGGCATATAAGGTAGTCATTCAATCTCATTATTGGGGAAGGGCATTTAATGTGGCCTCTCCACTATTGCTTAGATTATTAGTTGATATCATCCTTGTAGATCTCTGGACATTTCCCTACTGCCAGATTTCTCTTTAAACCTATAATGGCTCCCTCTATTATGATGTCTCTTATCTTGCTCTCCTCCATGCTTACCCCTCATGTCCTCCTCTCCTCTTCTCCTTTTCCTAGCTACCTCTCCCCTTCCCCCATGCTCCCAATTTGCTCAGGAGATCTTTGAGACAGGGTTTCTCTGTGTAGCCTTAACTATCCTGGAACTCACTCTGTAGACCAGGCTGGCCTTGAACTCACAGAGACCCTCATGCCACTGTCTCCTGAGTGCTGGGATAAAAGGCATGCGCCAACACTGCCTGACTATGTTTCTGTTTTTATGCTAGTCATTGGACGGAGCAATGAAGACGAGAGAGGTCACATTTGAAGGAAGACACATCAATGTAGTTGTTCCTCAGGTATAGGCTCCCCAGTTAGACATCTCAATTAATGGGGTTTGCCTATGTTGGATAGTGAATTAGGGAAAAGAAAGCAGTTTATATTTAAAAAACTAAGCACTCTATTTCTGCTTAGTCCTTGCTGAATTTAAGAGCTGTGCATTTAATGTCAATCTCCACCAACAACTTTAAACAGCAGCCCACTATAGGCTCCCCAGTTAGACATCTCAATTAATGGGGTTTGCCTATGTTGGATAGTGAATTAGGGAAAAGAAAGCAGTTTATATTTAAAAAACTAAGCACTCTATTTCTGCTTAGTCCTTGCTGAATTTAAGAGCTGTGCATTTAATGTCAATCTCCACCAACAACTTTAAACAGCAGCCCACTTGAACAAAAATGTGATTGAGTATGTTAACCTTATCCTAATACCTGAATCCTTTTCAAACTCCTAAGTCATTGTACCAAACTTCTTTACCATTAATATAATGTTAGGAGTCTCATCAGAATTCACAGAGTTCCCTCAGTCTGTGGGAATTACCAGAAAAAAAAAGAATATACCTTTAGGGGGTTAAACCTTTCCATGTAATAAGATCTTAGTTTCGGGTAAAAAGGGTGTTTTGTTTGTGTGTGGAAGAGTGTTAATAATTTCTTAGATCTGAGAAAATAGATTCTTTACTAAACCAGTAGGTGATGTAGAATTTCAAGTTTTTAATCACAATGTGAAAAGTGCATAACTTTGTTTTGTTTTTAGGGACTGACCATGCGTTTCAACATACCGACTGGGACCAATTTACCCCCTGTCACTTTCACCTCTCAAACTCCTTATATTCCTTTTAACTTGGGAGCCCTGTCAGCAATGAGTAATCAACAGCTGGAGGTAAGTTTTAAAGGACAAAAGTAGTTTAATGTGAATTAAAGGCAATTCCAAATGCCTTGTTGCAGGTTACCAATGCACAAATATCACATTCTCTAAAAGCTTACCCTGAATAGATCAAAAATTTTTCCTTTATTTGTTGACCTTTTTGACCAAGCTAATATAGTAAAATGGAGTTTGTGCAGAGCACAAAGTAAGTAGTCCTTGAATTAATGTAGTTTGAATTATTTTAATTAAGAAACAATAGGGCAGCTGAATGGCTAGGGAAACAGCACTTTGATCACTTATGAAAAAACAAAGTACTTAATGTTTGAAAGTAGGTTAAATACATGCATGAGTTTACAAGCAATGTAGAGGTGCTATTAGGTGTACACTGCTGCCCATCATTATGATGTTTGTAATTTAAAACTAGAATAAAATATAAACTAAATGGGAACTATTAGATTATATTATACCAATAGTTTAATAATTTAATTGAATCTGTGGTTTCATTTTTAAAATTTACTCAATAGGCTTATTTAAATTAATTGTTTCAATAAACTCCAAACTTGTACCTTCTTAAACTACCTTTGTATCATTGAAGGTTTTTTTGTTTGTTTTTGAGACAGGGTCTTTCTTCAAAGCCCTGACTGTCCTGGAATTCACTGTGTAGACAAGGGTGTTCTTGAACTCACAGAGATCCACTTATAGATGCTGAATTTTGCTGCTCTCTTCAAATTGTTTAGGTTTTCAATCAAGTACTATGAATTGGCAAGAGGAGTAAGCTGTATACATAAAAGCTATACTGTCCTTCTGTGCTATATAGCTTATTTTTTTACATCCTTTTAGGACCTTATTAATCAAGGCAGAGAAAAGGTTGTAGAAGCAACGAACAGTGTGACAGCAGTGAGGATCCAGCCTCTTGAAGATATCATTTCAACTGTAGTAAGCAAATTGACAACAGACTTATAGCAACCTCTGATTTATGTGCACCACACATCATTTGTTTTAACTTTTGTTCACTTCGATACTTTCCCTAGGGTGGGGGGTGGATATGTAATCCTTACAATTTGATTCTAAAAGTACTAATAAGATGAATAACAGTCTCAAACTGTAATTTATCTACTACGCATAAATGTTGACTTAAGAGAAAAATGGGTAAAATACAAGAATTGAAACATCAAGCATAGAAATATATGCATTGTTTTTCTAAATACATTTTGAATGTACCATTTATAGAAATTAAATCCAGATAGTACTTATTTTAGAGGAAGTCAAAACACACACCAGTGGACAACATAGCACCCTGTTCTCCTGACAGTTGTTTTCTTTAGAAATGAGAAAAGGAAGGGGAGCGGGATTAAAAAATTGATCGTATTTAAGTACCTTAGTTATTTCCCCTCAGTTGTGTAGTTATATGGAGTAAATAGAAATGTCTTTCTTTTAGTGGAAAGAAAACATGAATCTCTCTGAGGCCCAAGTACAAGCACTAGCATTAAGTAGACAAGCCAGCCAGGAGCTTGACGTGAAACGAAGAGAAGCAATCTACAATGATGTATTGACAAAACAACAGATGGTAAGAACTCTTGTCTCCCTGCTCTGTTGGATTTTCTTCAGTTTGTAATGAGTTGATATGACTATAATAACTATACAGAATGAATGGCCATTGATTATTCTCAAGTTTGCAAACAAACAAACAAACAAACAAAAACCTAGTAGTTTTAAGAGCTACTTCGCCAAAAGAGCAACACCACAGACAGTTCTCCTGGATGTTTTTATAGGATCTGTTTCTTTAGAATTTTATTTTTTCTCTGTGTTGGACTTTTGCTTCTTCTGTCACTTTCTAATATCTTCTAAAACTAGACATTTGAATGTATTTGTTTGGAGACTGGAAGTGGTGTCCTGAATGATGTATAAGCTCCTACTAAATTGTCTGAATCTTCTAAAGGATACCATATTCTATGATTCCTGGTCATCTTTTCCAACACTGTCTTGACACTAGAGAATCAATTTCTGTTGCATGAGTTTTACTTAGAAAGCACTGTGGAATCATGGTTTTAAATTATAGGGAATTTGAGAACTTCAGGTAGGAATTATTCTTACTGCAAATGCTTTTCCCTTTGGTGTTCATCAGTGAAATGTTTATATGTCTGTCATCATGTAAAATAGTTAAGAGAATGACAAAGAAAGGGGAGTCGACAAAAGTTCTGTAACTAATACTTGAGACTAATCACAGTGCAAGACAGGTTACTATGGCAACTAACCTATATGCTGCTTACAATACAATAGTCAAGTCATTAAGAGAATTTAGTCCTAAATGGTGTTACTAACTGGTTTCTACAGTAATGGTTTTGTGAATACCATCAAATTAGTAATGGTGATAACAATAATGTGTTTTCCTTTTGGTATGGTACTCCCTTAACAAATTGATTTTAACTCAAAACTTGATACTTGCTTCTTTGAGGCGCGATGTACACTTGTATATATACAGCTCCCTTTTCTCTCTGCAGTTAATCAGCTGTGTGCAGCGAATACTTATGAACAGAAGACTCCAGCAGCAGTACAATCAGCAGCAACAGCAACAAATGACTTATCAGCAAGCAACACTGAGTCACCTCATGATGCCAAAGCCTCCAAATTTAATCATGACTCCTTCTAACTACCAGCAGATTGATATGAGAGGAATGTATCAGTCAGTGGCTGCTGGTATGCAGCCACCACCCTTACAACGTGCACCGCCCCCAATGAGAAGCAAAAATCCAGGACCTTCCCCGGGGAAATCAATGTGATTTTGCACTAAAAGCTTAAAGGATTATTAAAATCATAGAAAGATCTTTTATTTTTTTAGGAATCAATGACTTAACAGAACTCAACTGTATAAATAGTTTGGACCCCTTAAATGCCAATCTTCCATATTAGTTTAAAATTTTTTTAAATATGGCATACCATTTCTCTCTGACATTTGTCAGTGATGTTGCCTACAATCTTCTTACACACATTGAGTACAGAAGATATTTCAAATTGTTTTCAGTGAAAACAAATCCTTCCATAACAGTAACAGCTCCACAGATTTCCTCTCTAAATTTTTATGCCTGCTTTTAGCAACCATAAAATTGTCATAAAATTAATGAATTTAGAAATTAATAAAGATTTATATATTCGCTCTTTACATATAAAACCACACAGCTGAGTTCTTAGAGTTGATTCCTCAAGTTATAAAAATACTTTTGTACTTAATCCATTTCTTGATTAGAGTGATTGAAATGGTCTTAATGTTCTTTTGACTGAAGTCTGAAACTGGGCTCCTGCTATGCTGTGTCTGTGATTAAAAGTTAGATCTAAGGGTCATCTTAGACACAGAAGCATATGCAATATTCTTAAATACTACTACTTTAAAGTTGGAGGAGCCTTGCAGTTATCTTAGCATTGTATAAACAGCCTTAAGTACAGTTGAATACAAGGAAATTCCTTTTTCTTATTTAGTCTCTCTGCCATTTTTTATTTCCAGTTGTATGTGCTGAAATAATTACTGGTAAGATTTCGGGGTGTGGGTTATTTTCTGCACATGCGTTTCTTGTCTCCTGGCACCAATGGAAACACGTCTGTCAGCCATTGTGCCAGTGCTGGTGCTTCATCCTGTTGCTGGCAGTGGGATGCAAACTAAGAAAATCAAGTTAGAACATTTGAAGAGGTTAGTGCTGAAGCTGTGGTATTAAGCTCACACCCTGTTTTATAAACAACATCAAAATGGCAGAACCGTTGCTGACTTTAAGTTCACATGAGGAATGTGCTTTAACAGTCCCCAGTACTGTCAGTATTGCAGAATAATTCCTCTTAAAGATTAGGATCACTGGCTTCTTTCTGCTCACCACCGTGTTCTTTTTTCCCAGTTCCTTTAAATTTTATTTTAGTAACTTGTTTTCAAGTTTGATATTTTTCCAGTATTGATCTCTGGGGTGATTTTTATTTTGCATAAAGTTAATTCACCCAATTCTTAAAGGTTTCTTACTATAAAATCATTTAATTTCTTTTTCTAGATCCAGGTTTATGAAAAGTGATATACAATTTTATTCATGTTCAATTTGATTGCTTGAGTTTCTTCAATAAAAAGATCGTGTTTGACTGTGGGAGTCAACTCATCACAGCAATACCATTTATGAAACGATGATGTAACAAGTAGTAGAAATAGCTAAAGAAAAGCTGGGTAGAGTATTTGTTGTAGGCATCTCTCTGGACTTGATTGAATTGAACATGAGCTAAACATTGAGCTAACATTGAACGTGGTTTTAGTTGTTTGCATAATAAAAGATTTCCATTTTTATCTTGGAAGAACTAGTGGCTGAAACATCCACACACACTGTTTGTGATGAATGTTGTGAGGTTTGGTGTCTCCACCTTCCCGTGATGAAACACACTAATGAACTCCATGTATTTGGATATCAAGTTCATTTCATTGGAGGGGGCAGGTGTGTGTTTACTTTGGAAGAAATAAAAGAAGCAAGATTTATGAGGTAAATATTTGAAAGTATGCTCTGGCCAACTGTTATCAGAATACTTTAAAACTGATTTACTAGACCTTGGAATTTTCAACATGGTCTAATTATTTACTCAAAGACATAGATGTGAAAATTTTAGGCAACCTTCTAATCTGTTTTCGCAATGGATGAAGCTATAACTTGAAGAATAGGAATTAGAAGGACTAATTGGAAATCAGAGTTTGAAATAAATCTTGGACCACTTTGCATACACTCTTCTCACTTGACATCTTAGCAACATGATATATGTACTTTGAGTATAACATCAACTTTTAACAAATATTTAAAGACAGAAATCACATAAGATACTAAAAAGCTCATTTTTATATTTGTTTTAGATGTTTTAAATAGTTGCAATGGCTTAAAATGACGATTTAAAATGTTGCTTGTAATACAGTTTTGCCTGCTAAATTTTCCACATTTTGTAACCTGTTTTATTTCTTTGGGTGTAAAGCGTTTTGGCCTAGAATTGTGATATTGTATGTTTTGTCCCAGTTGTATAGTAATGTTTCAGTCCATCATCCAGCTTTGGCTGCTGAAATCATACAGCTGTGAAGATTTGCCTTGGTTTCTGTTAGACTGCTATTCAGTTCTGTATTGAGTATCTTAAGTACTGTAGAAAAGATGTCACTGCTTCCTTTAAGGCTGTTTTGTAATATATATAAGGACTGGAATTGTGTTTTTAAAGAAAAGCATTCAAGTATGACAATATATCTGTGTTTTCACCTTTCAAAGTGCTGTTTAGTAGTTGAAACTTAAACTATTTAATGTCATTTAATAAAGTGACCAAAATGTGTTGTGCTTTTTCTTGCATTTTCACAGCTTTGAAAAAAATCTGTGCACATATTGTTTCATAGAAAAATGTATAGCTTTTGATGTCCTGTTTAATGGTGGTTCTTTTGCACATTTAGTTGTTTACTATTTGGGAGGTCAAGAGGTTTGGTTTTTAAATCTGTTATATACTAAATTCTGTAAAAGGAGATCTCTAACCTCAAAAAGAATTTACATACCAGGAAGCCTTGTGTGTGTTGTTTCAGTTTTGGTTTTCTGTGTGTAATCCAGCACCATTTCCTGCTCCCAACATGTTTGCCAAAATCAAACAGGGTCGCTACCCACCCTTGTTTTGGGTGCTTACTGCCCACAAGTCCAAACATGGAAACCATAGTACCTTGCCCTAAAAGAAGTGAAACAGTTCGTAGACTTCCTGAGCATTGCCTGCCTGCCCCACAGCCTTTTTTGTATGAACTCAGTTTCCTTCAGATAAAACTTTAAAAGCAAGTACTTGTCCTAGTAACTAGGATTTCCATAGAAGAAGGTACCACATGTTTGTGGTTCTTCAAGTAAATAGGTTAGTTCTTTTACATGTTTATTTCATTCAAAGTTAAATTCAGGTCATTACCAATCTAGTATCACCTAACCCATCTGTCTCAAAGTCAAATGTACCCTTAGAGAAATAAATCCACCATTTCCCCTCCACCCACTAAGTCTGTAACTGAGCCAATCCCAGAGGAGTTACCAGATTAAAGAAATAATTTCATCTGTGCTTATGTGCCAACTGATTAAACTCAGTATCACTAGTGTTGGGTCTAAGAATGTGATGGTACCTCACTCCAAGAGTGTCTGTCCCTAGGGTGTGCACAGCCACAATATTCTCTGTATATATAAAACCCTCTCTGGAATGACCTGCCTGACACTGTAGTCCACCGCTAAGGGAATGACCCTGTAGAGGGTGATTGTATTGCTAGTGACCAATGCATTTTCAAGAGGGCATATAAATGGCAGCCTCTATTAAGAGTAAGAATACAAACTTCATTCTCAGGGCCCCTCCCAGCATGGGACTGGTCCAGACCCCCTGAGTGTGAGAGTCAGTGGGGAGGCCTGGGCAATCTATGGGGCCCTGGGCAGTGGATCAGTGTTTATCCTTGGCATCACAATCTTTTCAGCAAGGAAATGCTTTGCATTTTCCTGGACATTGTGCTTGTACCGCTCTTCTCTGGCAGAGGAACCAGGAGAGCATGGGAGCTTGGCTGTCATCTCTGAGGTATAGAATTACTAAGAGACCTCTACCTGTTCCAGTGTGCCCAGCTCCATCCCTATAGTCCTCAGGTTAAATAGGTGTTGCCTGTCAACAACCATGAAGAGAGATGGCTTATCAGATAGAGGGATGATGGGCTTTCTTTCAGGTATACGAGGAGAAAGTGTAGTATTGAAAGAAAGGGAACAAAGGTCAGGAGGGTTGGAGACAGACCTAAAGTAAATTGTTGGCCTTGAAAATCTGAATGAGTAATTTAATATAAAGGATAAGTAGAGTTGATAAAGCAGGTGATGTGTTCAAAGTAGCAGGTAAAGATGGGGATTTAGGGTGGGGTAATTTCGGTTAGAGTGCAAAGTGAAGAAAGATTGGAGACTAGAAAGATGAGTTCATTGACCAGACTACAGATAATTTGTCCTTCAAATAATTTGAAGGGCAAAAGGAACCCAACATTAAGGGATTGTATAGTAGACTTAGATGGTGTTTCCAAGAAAAACTTACTTCCTATTGCCTGTGTCCTCAGGAGACCAGATGTCAAGATTCCAATTTTTCATATATTTGTTCCTTCAAAATGGTACGCCCTTTAGTGACATTTTCATTCTTCTGTGGAAAGTAAGCTTTTGTCGAGGCAATTCTTTTGGTCTTTGGATACAGGGTCTCAGTGTCTCAGGTCTCACTGGCTGACATCAAAACAGTAAGGGGTTACAAGTGGAAGCTGCCATGCCCTGCATCAAGCTAGTCCAACAGAAAGTCTGATAGATTACTTTTCCTCGAGACCCATTCAAAGTGGTAGTGCCTCTTGGCAATGTCTTGTAAGGTTCAAGATTTTGTGTTACCAATAAAATACCTGAGAGTCACGAGGGAAATATATTCTTTTCATAACAAAGTAAAAGTGAGACCAAATTCAAATCCTTAGTATACAAGAAGCACAAGAGTCCTTCATGTCTCATTTGACAAGGGGGCGGGGCTATACCTGCTAGAGGGTAAGAGACTGGATCACGTGATTTCCCCGAGTTAGGAGTTTAACTGTGAGCAAAGCACTGTGAAGCCAAAAAGGCTATGTGCTTGTCTAAGGTTACAGGGTGAGTTTGAGAACAGCATTAGAAATCATTTCCCTGTGGCTAACTCTCTACCCCACTAGGCTATACCTTTCCTTTTCCTCTTGTCTAGAAAATGAGAGGTCTGACAGGCATTTTAATGACAAAGCAGATAAGTCACGTTGTAATTGGCTCTAATTACCGCTTCCACTAGCTGTAACCTCCTTTATCTTTTGCCCAGAGGCACTCCCAGAGCTGTGTGGCTCTCACCACCTCTGGAACTCATTGCAGAAAATGGAAAAAACGTTTCCAAGGGTCTCACTCTTAAGATCCTAGCTGCGTGGTTGGAATGAGTGAGAAAAATATAAAGCAGCCTTTTCGAAGCCAGCTTTTAAAACAAACAATTGGTAGCTTCCCATTCCGTTGTTCATAAATGAAAAAACAAATAAACAGCTTAGAGCCAGCGTAAATGGTCCAGTCTAGATAGAGTTTATAGTGAGCAGGAGGAGGTGATACTCACACATTGACACAGCATGTACCTTCTTTTGAGGTAATAGATTCCTAGTCCAATTGTGTGACAAACATGAAGCAAACTAATAGAAAAGTGAAATAGTGATCATTTTTCTCTGTAGCTACTTGTCCCTGCATGCCGGCAGGAAAGCAGGTAGAAGCCTGTGAATAAATCTCAATGAAAACAACCAAACTTAAGAAAAGGAGGCGGGAACTGTGCTTTCGAGTCATCAGAGGCCTTGTTAGTTCATCCCCAGCCCTTAGGTTTACAACAATACAGCTGGGAGAGGCTGGGCTTCAAAGGCTTTAGGGAAGCCAGGCTGCTTGGAGTGCATTCTACACAGCCAAGGAAACAACTTACACTCTTTGTAGGCTTCCTACCCTCTTTTCTCACCTCCTGGATGCACTAAAAGTGTGAGCCTCCAATTTTTACCCCTTTCTTCACACTGGATCCCCCAAAGGTACTCCACATATACAGCCCCCTTATAGTGCTTAAAAGGGAGACCTTCTCCTAGAATCAAAGGATGCTGGAGGTGGGAGGATCCTGCCTCGGCCAGCCTCTCCCTTTCCAAGCAGGGGAATAAAGCAGAGAAGGGAGTGTGGCTGGGCCGCACCCCCTTTCTCTTCAGTTCTGTTTTGACTCCCTTCAGATGCAGTTACATTTAATTCCACTTGGGGTTTGTTTGTTTGTTTGTTTGGTTGGTTTGTTGTTGCTGTTTTTTGGTTGTTTTGTTTTGAGTCTGCTAGACAATATCAGGCACATTTCAGAGTAATTTTTACTAAACTAACATTTCAATTGAGCACTGCTCCTGGGAAGTGGAAGAATATGTGAACCAAATTGGGGGGGGGTAAACTGCGAGCAACACACGGCATGAAAGGGGAAGCCCCGGGAATATCCCCTAAGCCTTTAATTTGGCATCCAGCCCATTGGCCTCAGGATTTTGTTTCAGAGGGATATTTAATTTGTTTAAAAGGTTTTTCTTTCACCACACTTAACATGAACTGAACTGATAGGATCTAAGAGCTTTGTTCATCTCTGTGCCCCATGCCTAGGATGGATTCGCTCAGCCTTCCTCAGGCCAGGCAGATTTCTGTAGCAAGAACTTCAGCAGCCTCTATTTAGAATGAGAAATATTGATGTAGTTACAGGAACAAAATAGAAGGCTATGTGTTAAGAAACATCTCTACCGGGCTACAAAGTTGGCTCAGTGGTTAAGAGCACTTGCTCTTGCAGAGGACCCGGGGTACATTCCCACCACCTGTATGGTGGCCCACCAGGTGATCTGATACCCTTTTCTGACCCCTGTGGGCACCAGGTACACTCATGCTGCACATGCATGCATGAAGGTGAAACACTCACACGCATACACTAAAGAAAATTTCAAATCTCTATTAGAACATGCAGCCCTATTCTTGTGTTAAAGATATGTGCCATAAGAACCACGCCATGAATAGTTTGCACATTTGCAAAGAACCGAAAGACTGCAAAAACAATGTTAATGCACTACAGTCACCCCACCTCGTGTCATTTCATCCCTCAGAATCTTCTCTTACATAGCAAACAGGCTTTCGTGAATGCTTTGAACATCACAGGCATTATGCTCAGTTGCCCTTTGTTCTTCTTGTTTTTCAGGTGAGGAAATGGGTTTAAAATAAGAGAATTCTGTACAGTGTCATGCTAACTAGAAGAGGCAGCTTTCAGAGCTCATGGCTAACTTTGTGACTGAGCAAGACAGAAGCTCTTCCTTGCATTACCTCGTAGACCCAGCCCTTTGAAAACTTCACAGTCCCTCACCATTTTGATCTCCTTGTGTGTTTTTTCCCAGACAGGGTGTCTTTGTGTAGCTCTGATTGTCCTGGAACTCACTCTTTACACCAGGCTGGCTGCCTCAAACTCAGTGATCTGCATGCCTCTGTGTCCCAAGTGCTGAGATTAAAGGCATGCGCCACCACTGGCCATTTTGATCTTTTATCTGAAACAAGACTTGAAAAACTAGAATCTCATGCACTGTGGGTGTTTTCAAGGTATTCCCTTGTGTCCCCTGCAAACAGCACCCGGGGCGTCTGATGCTTTCTCATTTTCTTCCTTGATCCAAACTGGTGTCTGCAATAGTCAGTAGGAAGACTAAAACATCTTCCACTTGTCACAACTCATTGTTTTGGACATGGGGTCTTATGTTTCCTCCTGCCTCAGCCAAGTGTCTGAACTCAGTTTAATACTCCTTCATGAGCTCAATTAGTCACCAGTTGGGAAGCCTATAGGGTTAAATATTCTGAACAAATTAAGTATTCATGGTTCTCCCCAATAAAGATCACTCTTTATTGAGACCTGGAACCCCTGTAGAGAGTAGGCTGAAACAGGACAGTCATAAGTTCAGAGGCCAGTCTGGCTACATAACAAGACCTAGTCTCAAAAATAGACATGGCTAACATCTGG